TCGTCTCGTCTCACAACAAACTTCCTCGGCGCGTGACGGATCTTCGTCGCTCTTTCCCCCCCCATTGTAATCTTAAAACGTTAAAATTGGCATTCTTGGCGTGACCCCTGCCAGAAGTGTCTCAAACTCGGGAATCCCAGCAATGCGGGGAGAAGGACACCGGGAGACCAGGACACCAGGAGGCAGCGGAGCCGCCTGCGAGTAGGACGTACCGGGAGTACCTACCGTACGTACTACGTACCTACCTACTCAGCTTTTTGAGTTAGGATTCAGGACAGGATAAAAGCTTCGCAGGGAACCGTGATCCTTCCTTCCTCCATACTCCATACTGTACTTATACTTCTTCCATCGCCAGCGAGATCCTCGAGAGTTACGCCCTGGGTGGCCTTGTTCAGGGAACGTTTATGAAAAAAAAAAGTGTATGGGGAAAAAGAAGAAGAAGAAGAAAAGAAAAAGAAAAGAAGAAGAAGATAAAATTAAAGGGAAAAGGGAGGAGAGGGGGGGGGGGGAGGAACTGCGGCAAGATCATCCACATCTGGTCGCCGGTCGGTACATATTCGCGAGAAGCCGGTTGCTGCTGGCCTTGGGTCTTGGGTCTTGGGTCTTGTCTTTGTGAAACCTGTCGCAGCCACAAGAAAGTAAAAAGAGGCCTTGGGAGGCCTTGAGAGGCCTACTTGGCTCGGCTTGGGCCCGACTTCCCGCCATGTCAATACAGTAATGCAAAGAAAGGGGCGCACGAGGTAAAGGGTCGCGACCTTGTAACGCATATAATTGCTGCCCTGCTGAGCGTGAGGAGCTGTGATAACACAGCATGCCTTGCGCTCGAGACTGATCCAGAATGTAGTCACGCCGGGGATCGGGAGCTGCGAATGAAAACAGGCATTCGTATGATATATACCTCGAGCAATATAAATACTTCGAGCAATTTGTATACCTCGAGCAATATATATACCTAGAGCAATATACATACCTGCAGCAATATACATACCTAGAGCAATCTCTCTCTCTCTCTCCCCCTCTCTCTATCTCTCCCCCCCTATCCAGTACGCGAGAAGTCCAGTCCAGTCCAGCCCATTCCAGCCCATTCCAGCCCAGCCCAGCCCCCTCAGTCTCGACGAAAAAGGCGACAGAGAGAGAGACAGATCAGAAAACCACCAGATACATCGTGCGCAAGAAAAACAGCCAGTGAACTCCCCTTTCCTATCCAAACTCCTTCACAGGCAAGAGAAGAGTCAGCGCTAGCCACAGACAGCAAAAGAAAACCCAACAACATTGCTAATACCACAAACCCATCATCCCCTTTCGACGCCTCCTAAATTGCTGCCCGCCCCGTGGAAGCTCGCACCGACTCGTCCCCGCAGAACCATCACGGCCAGACCTCTTCAAACTCCCCACAGAGATGACGGAGAGTCGAGGACGACGGAGCCCGCGCAGATTCCGGTGACACGCTTGTGCAGTCTGATGATACGTGCGAGAGGTGATTTCGAAATGACCGAGCAGAGGTGAGTCCCGAGAGAGAAAGGTCTTACTTGAGGACTCGGAGTGAGAGAAAGAGAAGCCCTGCGGCCTCTCGCCAACGCGGGACGCCACAGAGCAAGGTAGTAGTTGCTATCCAGTGATTCGTCGAGGTGCGGAGAGCCAGCCATGAGAGCCGGCGTTGTGTTACGCAGTGTCCTCCGTATCCTGGCAAAGAAGGGCTGACCACTTGGCACGCAAATGGATGGGTTGGACAAGTCACGTTCCGACGTGGCTTCATGCGTGGCATCGGAGCTGAAGCGGTCTTGCCTGATGATTCACGAGATGCTGACTGCAGCCTAACTTGAACATGGAGAGAGATAGATATAAATGTACATATATATGCGCTGCGTGCCTATCGAGAACGGTGAGAGAATCCAGAGAAACGAGAAAGGAGCTGTGTGTTAGCGAGAGTATCAAAATACCGAGAAAGCAACTTGGCGAATTAACGTCATCTCGAACGTCCGACTATCGTGCTCGTGACGCGAAATCAGAGAAGGGAACAAAGCCGAACGATCGAACGAATAAAAAGAAATGGAGACTCCGGTCAAAACACACCAGGACTTCATCCTCCTCACTGCAAATCTCGGCTCCGAAACCTCCACGGAAATCATCAACTTCATCGCACAATACTCCACCACCCCGCACAGCCTCGCCGACCTCTCGCAAGCGCTAACCCTCGTAGCCACCAATCTCCACTCCTTATATTCCACCATCTCCCAATACGGGCCCAATACCAATTACGATGATTCCTTGACCAGACCTCTCATCGCCTGCTTGCATGCAATTTTCGAGAAAGTGGGCAGGGCCTTGGAGGAGGGTGTGGAAGCCGAGAAGGAATATGGTGACGAGTGGGAGGATCTGGAACGTGTGGGTGGAGGTGGGAGGTCAGTAGTCAGGCCGAGAAATCCAAATGCCTTTAATCATGCCGGGTGTGTGAGGTTTGTGAGGGTATTGGGTGGGTATGAGACGACAGATGAGTTGGTGTGGTATCTGGAGACCTTGAAGGGACATGTCTTTCATGTAGCCAAGGCGATTCGGTATTTGGCTTTGAAGAGAATGGAGAGCGAGTGAGTAGTTTTTGACGTTGAATAAAGCGTGGAGAATAGCGACGCTGATGTTTGTTTTAGGAGTACTTTGAGCGCGGAAGAGAAGGCGACGATGAAGAAACTGACGAGTCGAGTTGTTGATCTTTCGGGCGAGCTGGAGTTCCGGAAGCAAGAACTTGAGGTATTGGCTGAGAGATGGAAGGCTGGCGATGATCTTACGGACACAGGGAAGAAGATGGACGAAGTAGTCATTATTCCTCGACCGAACCGGCGGATTGACGACGATGCTCTGAGCTGGCGCTCATTCGATTCCTTTGAGTCAGAGTGAGTTACTCGTGATCAACCTCTCTTCTTTTTTACACGGATATGCTGACCGAGCGTGTACAGTAGTGCTTTTATCGAGAGTAACGAAATCTACGAGATATGGATCATCCGGAAGATTGAAGGACAAACTCGACGAATGGAACGTAACTGGACATTCCTCGGCCTGAGAGTGAGCGAGCATCTTAACGACGAGGTCTATTCTGTCGAAGGCATGCCTTGCTCCCAGGAGAAAATGAAAAGTAAGTACGAAGCTTCGAAGATCGGGGCAGGTGTATTGGAAAGGAGACTCGCAAATTTGCCCAATAGTATCTATCGTGAGATCCAGTGGCTCGTTCAGGAACGTATGAGGATTTCCAGTGTCAGCAGGCGCCTCCGCACATGGAAGTTGATCGATGTGAAGCCCACTACTCCGATCATGCCTCGGCAACCGCAGTCCTGGATGAGCTGGCTCATGGGGAAGCAGAATAACTCGGACCAGATGGTGGTCTTGAAGGCGGAAAGTTCCCGGGAAGAAGGCATGACCTATCCGAATAGGATTACCGATCCTTTCAGGAAGCATGGTCGAATTCCAAGTGATAGAAGGAGGAGAAGGACTCGCAGCCCCGTTGATATTCGCCTGGAGGAGAGAGACGAGCGGGGTGAATATGTTGGCGATCGTCGTCGCGGCGAGATTCCGTCGATGCCAGATCCAACTCCTGAGGAGGCACATAGGAAAATCGAGGAGATGCTGGCAGAACTGGTAGCTTCTGGCAAGCAAGACGTAGCTTCGTAAGTTGACCACAGGGATTTTCGGGACTAGGACTATGGGAGGAACAGTTCACGGACTCTTGATTCCTCGCTCCAATGCACCTGTTCCTCGAGAGGGAAAGTCATGGCAATATGACCTTTAGGACAAATTGATATCGGAATTGAAAGATTCAAGTAGAAGTGCTGAAACACGAAACTACTTCTTGAAACGCAATCCTGCCAAATAAACGAAGAAACCGGCATCTTGAACCGAATGTGGGCGTTGCTGTGGCATATTCTGACAGTCCAGAATAACAGCAGCTTCACTCAAAGCACGACAATGACTCCTCCAGAAACGGTCAAGGTAGTGGCGGGGAGACAGGTATTGCGGATCCTGAGTGAGATACTGGGGAACTAGTATGTTCCTTAGATCCGATTAAGGAGTTCGGAAGCATCATATACTTGCGTCTCCCTAATTTGCAATTCTGCCTCCGTAAAATATGAGGATCTCGACGAATTGCGTCAACTTGACGATTTCTCCAAAATAGTCAAATAAATTTTGCTAATCATACCGTTTCGCGGTCGATTTTTGACTTGGGAGAGATGGCTACCAGAAAGGAATATGATGCTGTAGACGGCATCTAGTAGAAGCTCTCAGGAAACAGCAACTCTTTGACTTGGAAGCATCACAATCTTTGAGGTTCCAGCTCTGGCTTTGCTTTCGTTCAAGCCAAGCTTCTCAAAAGATGTGCAAGGAACATCGCGATAGATGATATCGGACATGGCAGCGAACAAGGCATGAGAACTCAGGCTTTAGAAGTGCAGAGTATAGAGTTTGAGAGGGAATGTCAGATTCGGACGAAAACAGGGAGGTTGTAGAGAGGTGGGTCAGAGGTGTTGATTGAAGAGAGGAGCGATGCTCCACCCGAGCTATAGCACAGCCAAATCCCACCAGCTCCAAAAACAGACTAGCGTCCACTCCACTCTGCAGCTCAAATCGCCAAACTTCCCCCAAATCAAAAAAAGATACAAAAACTAATTCCTTACTCCCAAACTTCTCCAACGACAAAGATACCTATCCGTAAAAACACCATCTCTACCATCGACTCTCGACCACCCATTCTGCCTCTTCCCCCCTAAATCACAAACTCGAACATCAATTTCTCAAATTCAAAAAAAGAAAAGGGGAAAAAAAAAACGGAAAACTGCAAACATGCATCTCATGTTCACCATCGACGACGCCGGCAAGCGCGTGTACACCCTCAAGAAGGTCGTCTCGGGCGCGGTCACCAAGTCTGCGCACCCGGCCCGCTTCTCCCCCGACGATAAGTACAGCAGACATCGGGTCACGCTGAAGAAGAGATACGGGCTGCTGATGACGCAGCAGAGTGCGTTGCCTCCCTCCCCCCTCTATACCTGGTTGCGCGTTGCGATTTGGAGGACAGGTTTGCTGACGGGTTTTTCTGCGCAGAGGATCTCAAGGTTCTGGGGCAGTAGAGGGAAGGACGTGGGGTGGAGTGCTAGGGAGAAGAGGGTGGAAGCTGTGACAATGGCATCGAGTGGACCAAGGGCCCGTGGAATAATGGTGGATTGGAGAGGGTTACTGCGGGCTTTTGCGTTCGCAGTGCTTGTAGGGCGTAATGCAGGCGTTTGGGATGGGCGGAAAACTTTCGACTATCCTGGGGCGTTGGAGTTTCGCCTTGGCTACGTGTGCTGGAAATCAAAAATCAGAAATTGTCAATCTATAGAGATTTGGCTGACTTCTGTGTTACGAGTGCAAGTGGACCAGTGTCATGAGCTAACCACTCTCTAAACAGCACTGTCGTCTTGGGGGAACTCAAGCCAGGAGTTTTTGTTCTCATTGGCAAGAAATATACGGACCAGAACCAAGCCTCCAGAATGACTCCATGTGAACGCTCCATATTTTGAACGCCGCCATATGCCAAAATTCCATAAATTCAATGTCTCTTCTTGGAATTGACGTTCCTGCCAGCTCCAACCTTCGGTCTGCCACCTGTCCGCCCTCTATCGCCCGAAAGAAGCCCAGGCAAAAAATCCTCATCCATCAGGTCCTTCTCCTTCTTCCTCTGGTTACTAGTCATAGCCTGAACATACTCCTTCTGATCCTCAGCCAAAATCAGCCCCTGGCCCCATCCGCCCTTTCCACCTCCCTGAACCAACTTCCCGTTCGAGGTGCCCGCCACTGGCTTAGGTATACTGTAAACATTGCCTCGAGTATTCCACTGCATATTCTTCTTCAGATGAACAAAAACCTTCCCATCCTTATTTGTAGAGCACGATGTCCGCATCAGAGTATCCTTCCCACATTTCGGGCAAAACTGTCTCGACATATCTTTTGTGATTGCGAAGCAGGCATGGCAACGCAGCACCCAGGTCTTCAGTTGTCGGATTCTTTGAAGACCAGATGAGAGGAGGTTGAGGTTCATTCTGAGGATGACGTTCTGCATGGCGAAGTCGGTGGTGATGACTGCGACTTGCATATTTTGATCCTCCTTGTCGTTTGTCTTGAAGTTCTTTTCCGCTTTTGCCTGCACTTTCTTGATATTGGAAGGGGTAATCCAGCCTTCGCCGTCAGAGCCTTCTGAGTCTGACTCTATCACTTCCTCGACTTCGGACTCTGGCTGGCTGACTGGCTCGGTAGGTACCCCTACACTGGGCTCTGGTGCCTGTACCTCTGGCGTAGTTTCCGGATCCGTGATTGTGGTTTCTTGTTGGGATAACTGTGCTTGTTCCTTATGTGTACATTCGACGATAGGCTCTGGAGATTGTACCTGTGGATCAGAAAGATGGGTTCCTGCAAGTACGTGATCTATCGACTTTGGTTCGCTGTTCTCGGCTATTGGAATTTTTGTTCCCCAGGCACCTCTCGTCTCTGGCATAGGAGCAGGCACATTCTGCTTCTTTGCAGACTCGACATCGTCATTTTTCACAGCACCCTCCTCCAAGCTCTTAGGTGGCTCTCCGTTCAAGCCGTTCTGCCCCGGCTCCCTCCTGAGTCTCCAATCTCCATGGTTTCGCTCACACTCCAGCTCATAAGTCAAGGCGATCAACTGGACATCCGGCCTACTCAGCACCTCCAAATCGCCCGTCTTCCGCGCAAAATCCGTGACAACCTTCACGCTCGCAGGTCTCGGCGATCGTAATTTAAGGAAAGGCAGCAGGGTGCTCTCGATTCGGGCGCGCGTTACTGCATCGCGGATTTCATCGATAACGGCGGGGATCGTGTAGATGTTCTCAGCTCGGCCTAGGAGGGTATTGACATGAGGATCGTTTTTGATTATTGGGCCGGAGTCAAGAACAAGACTATGGACGGTTTTGGAGTTGAGAGTAGCCATTCTTGCGGAGAGAAATGATAGTGTCTGTCGAGATCATCCAGCCTTGGTGGGGTAATTAATATAATTTGGAGGGCTTGAAAAATATCAAGTTCTGCCGCGCGAAGCAGGCGGGCGGTGAGTGCACTGGCTGCATTTATTCACGTGGTGCTGCTCAGGACAGTAACGTTGGGTTTCTGCCCCAGAATATATCGCCAGCGGAAACTGCAAGACAAACTATGTAATAATCCAGCGGCAGTCATATCCCCTAAAAAATAACAATTTCCAATTTCCTATTCTCGTTCCAAAAACTCGACCGCCTTCTCAGCAACTATGAAAGTAACCCGGAAGCCCAATCCCAACTACCAGTCCATCACGTCTCTCACGCCCATGGCACCACCTTGAAAGACATCTCAGCAATCAAATCGAAGCTGGCCAGAATGGAGGTCAGTCTTGAAGAAGAGAGGCCACATAGCCGACGAATTAGTTAGCAAGCAACCACTCCCGCGAGATCCATTTCAGGCTCGATAGTCTTGCGCGAGGAGAGATCAGACATGCGATTGCCCATGAGACCGACGATGCAGGCACAGCTATCAAGTTATTGGTCCACTTGGGCAAAGAGATAGCCTCGGCGGATAGCTACTGCAATCAAACTAGGGCAAATGACGGTGCTCGGAGTCCCAGCAATGTCCTGGATGATGTCTCTAAGACTGAGGAAACCTTTCCCGAAAGGCCAGTATATTTTTCACGGAGCTCTAGTGCAACTACTCCGTGCCCTTTGAGATGAGTCGTTGGTTTGAGCGTCAGTATTCTTCGGTGCAAGTGTTCCCGCTGACCATACTCGAAGCATTGGCTAGATCCATCATTCGCTCGAAAGCGTCGCCAATGCTCTCTTCCAGAGGTTAGAATCAGAACCAAGTTCTGGTTCTAAGACCTATTGGAGATGTTAACTGTTTTGACAGAGCTCTAATGGTTGAGCTGAGCATGCTGATGTATGTATTTGACCAGACGCTTCCAAGCTCTGTCGCGAGCATTGAAGATGTTCCAGGCGCAAACAACCTGGAGTTCATTAACGCTATAAAATGCCTTCTGATCATCCGGACACTGCGAGTACGAGCCGCAAGAGTATCGATCGTACCAAGAATCCAGGTCTGAGGCAGATTGTATTTGAAAGCACCGGCAGTATCGCGCGCAGGGAATTCTTCTGGAGCTGCCCATATCGAGGTGGAGATCATGCTGATTGGCAAAAATGTCTGCAAAAACATCGCAAGTCTCGAAGACAAGACCTCCCCGTAAGAGCGGCACAATCGATGTACTCAGCAATTGTAAAGTCCCCAGGGTCCTTGTTATGCGCCCAAGGACAAAAGCACCGCTGGCTCCATCGACCTACTACATTTTAAAGTAGTGGTTGACGCGTTACTGGTCATGGTCCTCTAAAATAGGGAGTCAGCAAAAGGACATTTCAATTTGTCTTTTGGAGCTAAAGCGCTTATGGGATACCCGAATCTTCGGTTGACTTACGACAAATTAATCCAAGCAGCTCCACGCATCATGGCCTCGGTTCCAAGTATCACCTCAGCAGAGAAGTCCAAAGGGATGTGGCGTCTTTGGGAGCCCAAAAGGGTCAACCTTCTACGAAACCCCGATCCTGGTCATAAGATTATCAATTTAATGGTTAAGCAAGCCCAGGAGGGAAAAAAAAAGAACATCTGCAGTGTAAGATAAGAGGAGTAAGTATGTCACGTTAAATTGTAGCATAGCCGATAAGTCCGTAACCTCAACAAGCTACACCTATTTTTTTTCAAGCCAGTGTTTCATATATGCATACCTCCGCTTAATTCAGATTGTGAAGTTGATGATGGCTTGTCAGCGACAGAGCCATCTGCTGTAGCCTGAAAACAGATTATAACCATGCCCCCAAAATTTGCGAGGTCAACTCCCACCATTAGCTTCAAGTGTCTCCTCACGATTATGCCATAAAGCGGTGAGATAGCTATTCGGCCCGGCCCCAAAAATTCCCGCGAAATTTTTGTTTTTACAATATTAATTCACCCACCAACGAGACAGACATCAATACTCCTTCATTGGTTGTACTGGACAGGTGGCCGAGTGGTTATGGCGTGTGACTCAAGATCTGATCTTGTCAGCTTCCAAAAGTTGGTGTCTTCTCATGGGCTCTGCCCGCAGGGGTTCGAATCCCCTCCTGTTCAACAGTTATTTTGAATAATTTTTTTGGTTTTTCCATAACAGGGGGATGGAGGGAAAATTTGGTGTGTGGATTTCGAGCTAAGCGAGTGCGAGAGAGAGGGTTGCTAATTAAGCGAGACCTTTATTTTGATGTTTACAGATTACTTTGAGCAGACGATTATATTCTGTTGTGATTCACGTGTGATAAAGCAATAATAGCTTTTAATTCTATAGAAGAGTCGAGCGCTGATACTTGCGAATTCCTTGACGGGGCAAAAACAAAGCTATCTTTTTCGCACGCGGAGTGCTTTGGGCCGGTTAAGCTCCATAGCCTACCGCTCATCTTCTCTCTTCGCACAAACGAGGTCAAGGTCAATATAAATTTCGCATAAATCCCCATCGCCACCTGTTTATTCCCTGCGAAGAGAGAGCTCGTCTGACCATTCCAATAGGTAATCACTCCTCCTCATTTAACAACCTCGCCATATCGAATGCCAGCCGTCTGTCTATTCAGCCACCACCCCATTTCCCCGAAGCGCTGCAGTCTTGCAGCCTTCGGCGACAGCCAGCCAGCCGGCCAAAATCCATCCTGCTTCTGTGACCTGACCAAACCAACGCGACACACAAGGTCTGCAGCAGGCTGCAGGCTGCATCTCTGATGGGGATCGAAAGTTGAGGGAGCATAAAATCATAACTTGATGGGGGCCGGCTTAGAAGTTCCCTCTTATATATATATATACACTCCCCTCCCCCCTTCTACCTCCCTCTCCCTCTCCCACCACCTAATATTGTCAAATTATATAGACTTTTGCTCTCTGCCCTCTACATGGAAAGAGCAGCAATCTCGCTCGAGAAAGCACGTAGTTTTTTTTTTTTTTAATCAGGTATCCACTACTATCAACAGATAGATAGATAGATAGATAGATAGATAGATAGATAGATAGATAGATAGACAGATAGGTACCTCAAGCATCATCTCCCAGACTCCCAGGTTGGAAAATAAGGCATGAGGTCAACTCTAGAATATGTGCCGTGGGCGTCTCCTCTGCTAAATTTGCTTCTGTCTATGCAGTTGCAGCTGAGATATACCTACCGGCTTGCGTAGGTCCAGGAGGAGAGGAGAGGAGAGGACGGATTTTTTTTTTCTTTTCTTTTCCCTTCTCGTCGGCTTTTCTTCTTGCTGTAGGATTCACACGTTTAGAGGCAGTAGGTAGTTTTGATTACTCGTCACGATACGGCAAGATAAGATAGGAGAGGATGTGACCGACTTAAAAAAAA